CGGGGCGGCCCCGCCCCTCCCCGGCCCCGCAGATTCGCCACGGGCCGGCGAATCGGCCGAGCGCGGACCCGCCGCCCGATTTACCCTCTCGGGCCCCGCGTTCCCCACCGGACGCTGTTGAGCTGCGGACCCGTGTTTCCCGCCGGACGGCGGTTGAGGGGACGCCGTGGCCATGGCACCGCGCGCTTCCGGTGCCGCCGGCCGGGCTGGGACAGCGGGAACGGGCAGGGACAGCGGGAACGGGCTGGGATCGGGGCTGGGATCAGGACTGGGATCGGGACTGAGACAGCGGGAACGGGGCTGGGACAGCGGGAACGGGCAGGGATCGGGGCTGGAACAGCAGGAACGGGGCTGAGACAGCGGGATCGGGGCTGGGACAGCGGGATCGGGGCTGGGACAGCGGGAGAGCTGCTCTCAGGGACGGCAGCCGTGCCCACGGCGGGGGAGGGAAGCCCGTCCCGGAGCCTCCAGGCTCCTGCCGCAGCCGCCACAGCGCCCGGCCCGCACGGCCGCCGCTCCGAGAAGGCGCCGCTGGCCTCAGCCCTCAGGCTGCCCATGGAAGCGGGCAGCAGCGGCAGCCAGGACTCGCTGGGCAGCCTGACGGCGGGCGATGTGCTGATCCGCTCCACGGCGGTCCGCAGGGAGCGGCTCCCGGCCCGCAGCCGCCCGGTGACGGACGGGACGGGGCCGCAGGACGCTGTGCCCAAGCTCCGTGCCGGGGGCTCGCCCTGCCCGGGGGATTCGGCTGCAGACCGGGCTCCGTGTGGGACCTCCCGCCGCTCCCCCAGCGCCGCTCCAGGTGCGTCCGTGACCGCCGGGTTCACCTCAGGCTTGTGCTGACAGCGCTGAGAGGCGATTTCAGCCACCGAGCAGTTCTGTGGTTAAGGAACCTTTGCATCATCGTACTGCAGCTGTCAGCACTCTTTGTGTTCCCAAACTGTTTTGCACATGGAAAGTGAGTTGTGCAGGCCCTGGCACAGGGTGCCCAGAGGAGCTGTGGCTGCCCCTGGATCCCTGGAAGTGTCCAAGGCCAGGCTGGATGGGGCTTGGTGCAGCCTGGGATAGTGGAAGGTGTCCCTGCCCCTGGGGGCAGTTAATTCCTGTTAAACATTCCTGTTTAAAGGATGTTTAGTAATGTTCTCTTTTTCAGAGGTTTCCCCGTGCTGTAAATCAAATTTCTCATTCAGACTCACAGAATTTATTGATGTTTTTAAGCTTCAGCTCAATCTCTGTGGTCATTTGTGTTATGACAGTTGTGATGTTTAGGCATTCAGAGATAAGGGAAATGTGGAGTTTTACAGAAAATGCACCACAAATTATTCTGACCACAGTAAAACTGATTTTATTTTAGGAGTCCTAAGCACCAAAGTACATCCAGAAAGTCTGCTTCCAGTTGAAAATTCAAAGCCTGTGTTTTTATCCCAAATGGTAAGAAAAGTTGCTGTTCCTCTCTGTGATCTTGAGCTAAGAGAACACGGTTTTCCTCAAAAAGCTCCCCTATAAGCAGCACAAGATTTTGGCTCAGCCTCTTCACCACAAGTGTGCAACTGCTTTTCCTCTTGGAGTTGCTGCTAAGGTGGTTTTATTGTTGGTGTTTTTGGAGGGGCTTTATTTAACACTGAATGTTAGCAGTGCTTAATTCTCTGTGTTTGAATTGTCCAAGATTAGCAGCTTCTTTAAACTTAAGCAGGTATAGTTTCACTTCTACTTCTTTGCCCACAAATGAGGAGAATAAACTTACTTAGCACTCAGAATATGTGGTTTTAATTTGAATTGTGTTTGTGGAGTTTTAGTCCCTAAAATGCCGTGTGAGTTCTTGACAACAGTGTCCAGACCCTTTGTGGCAGAGGTCATCACATGTTTTGTGCCAAGACCTTTGTGCTGCTGTGTGCAAATGGTTCCATTTGTGTGCTCAGCAATTCCATTTGCCTCCAAATATTTGCTACTGTTGGCAGAGGCTTTGATGTCTGCTTTTTCTGCTCTTGTTCTGAAGGATCATCCTGGAGAAGCTGCAGCACAAGATGATCCTTCACTGCTGGAAGACATCAGAGAACCTGAAGGTAAAACATCAATCACCCTTTTTTTTTTGTAAGGAGACTGATTAATTAAATAAAAAGGGAGCTTTTAGGTATTTTTTATATTATAGAAACTTCTGAGTGAAAATATTCAAAGGTTGCTTTGAGAAAAAGATGATAATTACAACAAACATTTTTAAATTTTGCAAATTTTACCTCATTCTTGCTGGCATTACATTTTTTTAATTGAGTGGGACATCTGCCAGTGTGCCAGAGTGTTGAGATTCCTCCAAACTATTCATGTCTCTGAATAGACAGTTTGGGGAAGGGGCTTGTTTTGATCCATTTTCCTCTTGTGAATTATTGTACTACAAGGGCATATTTTTCTTCAAGCAGCCTATACCAAAAAAATGTATTTCTAATCCTTAAGAATCCTAGGAAATCACAATGTCAGTGTATTTTCCTATAATTTCTGAACCTGCCAATTTCAATCAGATTTAGGGAAGTGAAGGCTTTTTAAAGAAAACACACTTATGCAGGTTTCTTGCATATCTGGAGCTGTGTAGAGGAGAAAAAATATAAATCAATACCCTAGTTAAGACCAAAAATCAATATTTTGTACTCACAGGCAGCACTTACCAGCATTTGCTTCCTCTGCCCAGCAAAGAGGGGGTGAGGGAGAGCCTGCAATCCTTTTAGCATGATTTACACCTATTAAGAAAGTCTGTTGTAATTTATGAATATGGTAGGGAAATACTGTTTCTGGGGTTTTCTTAATTGAATATTTTTCAATTTTATTGAATTTTATTGGCTGGGTTGTCTGGGCTTGAGTTACCATTGAGACTTTACTCACTATTATTGGACTTCATTGATAATAGCATTCAATGCTATAAAAACTGTGTTAAATGAAGCCTGCTCTTACTCTTACCATTATTTAGGTTTTGTACTTACTGAAAGGAAACAATTTGTTGTTGCAATAGATGATGTGGGTCCTGCAGGCAACAGATTCTTCACAGCAAAATTAAATGTACTGAAATAATATTTTGTCTCTACTTGTGAAATAGACATTTTGTGCCAGTTATCTCAAAAAAGGATGTTTGTCCTTTCCCACAGATAATGTTTTTATTTCTCAGTATGCTGCTGGCCAGAAAGAGGTTCTGAGAGGAGTATTAATGCAAAAGTAAGTGTGAATTGTTGTTGGTGTCTGAGCTGTTCTGTTTCTGTACAATAGAATGCCAAAATGCATAGCTGGTAAGGAAGAAGTGTTTTTACTGTTCTCTGTCAGTGGTTTGTTTTTTTTTTTCTGTGTATGAAAATGTTTTCAGTTGATTTTATTCCCTGGAGTACCTTGTGTCAAAACTTCCAGGAGAAATGCTTATACAGTGATATCAATACTGTGTGTGGGAAATCATTTGCTTGGAGGAGATACAGAGAAAATGCTGTTTACAGGCTCTTCTTTATTTTTATAGAATTCAGAACATTCCTGTTCACAAGGAGGTGAAGGTGCAGCTCTTGGGAAATGCCTCCACAGGAAAAAGGGAAATTGTTGGGGGTGACAGCAGGTCAGCAGCCAGGGAAGCTGATTCTGCAGCAACCATTGCAGCAGCCACTGCTGCTGCCATTGCCACCACAGCTCCACTTCTCAAGGTGAGTGGGTGGCTCATGGGAGTAGCAGCTCTTTGTCCTCTGAAAAGAGTAAATGTTCCAAGCAAGCCTGAAATTGTTGATAGTAGCTCCAGAGAACCTGAATGTGTCTGCTCACTGCTTTGTGTGTTTGTCATCTCACACTCACTGACCAGTATACCAGAGGGAACTAATTTGGATTTAACTAAATGGGCAGAAGACAGAGAACATTTGATTTATCTGTTAGAAATTCGCAATATTGCTGAACTACCAAACTTTAAGGCTAAGTAGAATTTTGTTTCTTTTGGGATGCAAATCCAGGATTCTGTGAAGGATGTTTTGTTCTTACCATGCTCAGACATCTTCTGCAGTAATGGGATTTTTCCTCCCCACCTTCCTTTTTTTTTTCTTTATTTTTTTTTTTTTTAATCCTTTCTTTCAGGTTCAAAATGATTTGGAAGCAAAAGTGAACTCAGTTTCAGAGATGCTTCAGAAACTGCAGGAGACAGACAGGCAGCTGCAACGAGTGTCTGAACAGCAAGCAAATATGAAGGCTCAAAATGAACCCCACTACCACCAAAGAGTCAGCGAGCTTGAAAAACAAATGAACACTTTCATGGCACAACGGATTCAGCACTTGGAAAAGCTACAGGAGCAACAAATGAATATTCAGGTATCTAAGTCACAATGCAAAAACTTCAGGTTAATAATTTCTTTTGTATCTCGGTGTTAATGTTGTAATAATTTGGATTGTTTCTTAGTGTTAGAAAGAAAGAAAGCTAAGTGGAAGTGGATCAGAGAAAGTGAAAGCTCCCAACAGTGAGAAAGACTCTGAGGGACTGGAGCATGTCCAGAGAAGGGCAGTGGAGCTGGGGAAGGGTCTGGAGCCCCAGGAGGGGCTGAGGGAGCTGGAAAGGGGCTCAGCCTGGAGAAAAGGAGGCTCAGGGGGCCGTTCTGGCTCTGCACAGCTCCCTGACAGGAGGAAAGGGCTAGTGCAGGTTGGGCTCTGCTCCCAGGGAACAGGGACAGGACAAGGGGAAATGGCCTCAAGTTGCACCTGGGTAGATTTTGGTTTGGTATTAGGGGAAATTCTTCACTGAAGGGTAGTCAGACATTGGAACATGCACAGGGCAGTGGTGTAGTCACCACTCCTGGAAGTGTTCAGAAAACATGGATGTGGCACTGGAGGACTTGGTTGGGTGGGGAATGTGGTGCTGCTGGGAGAAGAGTTGGACTTCAAAATCTTAAAGATCTTTTCCAACCTTAACAGTTCTGTGATTCAATGACCAGAAATACTCTGTAATTTTGTCTCCCAGTCCCATCTCATCAGCTCTGCAGTGAGCACCCGTGGC